CAGAGTCAGGCATGGCGGACCAGTCAGCAGCGGCATAGCTGCTTTGGGTTGTCCTTTGGACATCAGCGCAGCACCATAGCTGCTTTGGGTTGTCCTTTGGACGTCAGGGCAAGGCCCTCATTAGTCCGCCATAGTCTATGCATGAGAGAGGAGGCTGAAGGAGGGAAGCCATAGCTATGGTAGACTGGTTGTTGTTGTTGTTGTTGTTGAGTTGAGTCAGCAGTAAGAGGGAACTTCGGATATTGATTCTGGTTCATCCATTCATTGTTATTATTATTATTGAGAGAAGAATAAGATTGGTGAAGTGAAGGAGGAGGAGGAAGGTGGAGAGAGAAGGGGGAATTGTCATTGGTCTTGCTGGTGTACATCTTCTTCTTCTTCTTCTTCTTCTTCTTCTTCTTCTTCTTCTTCTTTTTCTTTCTCTCTCCTCTGGTCTTTATCTTTTTGCAAGTGCTTTCATTTCTCTCGCAATTGGGTGGCTTTGTCTTTCATTGTGAATTTGCACTTGGGAAATGACCAGGATCGTAACACTATGCTGAAGCCTGAAATCCCGAAGCTGGTGTCCTTTTCTCCACTTCAACTTCTCATTGGTTTCTTAGGAAACGTTTGGGGATGTTTTCTCTTTCTTCTCTCTTCTCTCCGCAAAATGACCGATTGGATATTCTTCCTCTCCAGATCTGTCGCCCATACACTGCGAATGACTGGCATTTTCTCTCAAACAACTAAAGAAAAGAGATGTGGCACAGGATGTATGATGATCATTGGATTCATCTTGTCAGTGATCATTCCTGATGCGGCAAAACTTTCTAGAGTTAGAGAATCGTACCTTGTCTGAAAAATAGATAGACACCAGGTTTGTTTGGTAGCATGGTGGGTATCACAAGCATCGACCGTCCTTTTTTTCTTTTTCTTTTCGTGTTATACATGGCTCCGATCTATTGGTGGGGAGCTGCACCATCTGGAAAACAGGTCCAGGTCCAGAAAACGGAGCAAATTATGAATTGTGGCTGACGAGCAGCATTGCTTGTCCTCAAATGAGGGGATTAACTGTTCATCAGACTGCACGCTGGCGGCTAGCCCTTCCATAACAACCTCCCACCAAATCGTCTAACCTCCTACGTAACCTACAGAGAGGGAGTCTTCAGATCCCTCCAATCCAAAAAACTCACCCACCTATCCCATGCACACGCCAAATCACGATTGTTTTATGCACATCGTCAAGGAGCCCACTGGTCAACCCTAATCATCCCCCCCTACAGAGTGCAGGCACCTATTATCAATGAACTTCTATCCTACTATCATGAATGACATCTGCTGGTCGGGGTACACGAATTTCGATCTCAATCTCAACCAACCCCCCTGCACCGAGCAGATGCCTGCTATCATTATCCAAACGGTCACAGTCTCATTATTTGCAATATTCGATGCATAATCCATTGTCAAAAGGACGGGGAAATTTGTGTATTAGACAGGGAGGGCGAGGAACCATGGGAGGCAAGTTTAACGAAACTCCAGGCTCATACACCAGGTGACGTTGCAGGGGACACACGGCCCAGCGTCCTCCTGCCTCTTTGTCGCTATCTTCCTCTCCCTCAGCCACCCCTTTCAACCCACGGGATTTTCCATTCCCTTGTGCCCTTCTGGGATCTCCCATACTGCCATTCACCACCCATTCCTCCTCCATCCCATGGGACTTTCTCCCTTCTGCGCTTCCCGAATCTATGATACTGCCCCCTTCCAACCCAGCTCAGTCGCTTGATCCTGCTTCCAACTGCCAGTCCGGTCCTGGCTGGCAAGGGAGGAGGGTACTCCTCCATCATCCTGTGTGTGTTGGTACTACAAAAGCAGGACAACCTGCACTCACCTTCACATAATGTCCGCAAGCAAGGAGAGTCAGTGAATTAATTTGCAGTTGACCTTCCCCCTTATTTTTGTTAATCGCCCCTGGCCCAAGACACGTTCGAGCAGCATCATGCAGATGGCAAGTTGTCATCTCACCAACCCCCATGTTGTGATTTCAAGTGCCGAAGCCAGTTCGCAGGTTTATTGTCGTCATGGTCATTGATGACTGTGCATTGAACGGGGAGGGGGGAAGTTGCCGTTCCGCTTCCTTCTCGCTCCAGCGCCTGCTGAGAGACCATTCTCCCCCCTGCTGCACTCTCGTTCTCTGACAGACAAAATCATTGTGTATGTTGTCATAGCTATCTTGGAGTTGCTCCAGGTAGTCGACCCTCGATCCGCCGCCATCCCCACCAGCTTTCTCGGGGTCACAGAATATCCAGATACAGCCCAGCATCATCGCATTGTTCATGCAAAGGAGAGACCACTGTAGGCACGGTAGCAGGAACCTGCTTGCCAGGTGAACAGCTCTCTGCTGCCGCACGAAGCTCCACAAGCATTCGTCTCACATCCTGGAGCAGTCTGGCACACTGGTGTAGGCCGGCCTCCACCTGTGCTCTGTCAGTGTCATCAAGCTGTTGAAGGGAGACGATGGCATATAGTTCTTTCTCCCATCCCTCAAAAGTCTCCCTTCCTTCCGTCAAGAATTCAAGCGGTATGTTGTTCCGCTTTTGAATCGGCAGCGTCCACACTTCCTCCAGCTGCTGTTTGTACAAAGACATTGTCGCAATTGCTGTACTCTCCTCCTTCAGTAGCGCAACCGCCAATATGGCTTGGTCCGTAGGACACTGCACGGCAGGAGGAATGCCCAGCACCTCTATTTCCTGCCCGATCGCCATCACCAGGCCCAACCCTTCAACAGATCCCCTCGCCGCTTCTCGCGCGCCCATCACACCGGCACATACGTCAACTGCGATGCGGCACACGCACGGATCAGGGTTGAGGCCACGTCAGAGGTAGCCCCCGCCGTGTTGCAAGGGGAGCAGACTGGGCCCTGCCAGTTGGTCCCAGGCAGGGTCCCATGATGCGCTAGCCGCCTAGCGCATGGGTTTGCAAGTGCATCCAGGAGGTGCAACGTTTCTTAGCGTAACCCCTGTGCTTGGTAGAGTTCCACAGTTCGCACCAGGTTCAGAAAAGAAAAAAAAGGCCGTTGTGGAAGTCAGTGGTGGGGTTCTCACCTTATGATCACAGTGTGCCAGACTCTACACGGTTCACACCTTACGATCACAGTGGGGTTCACACCTTATGATCGGGGCTTTCTTGGAGAAGAAATGGATTCATTTGCTGGGCCAGATTGGTATCATGCAGTCATGAGGGGTGTGGTAGGGGGTCATTGAGCCCCTACTATGCAGCTCTGCAGACCGACCCTCGGGTGACCGGTATGCTGAGACGGCCGATGCTGTCCCTACCAGTAGTAGGAGAGCCCCACCCCGGAAGAACCAGCAGCACAATAAAAAAAAAGGGAAAAAGAAAAAAAACAGAAACTGCCCTGTGGTCGTGAACACAGTTGTATACATTCTCCCAAGTTGTAGTGTGAGTATGCCCCTCGTAAGGGCATATCAGCCCCGTGCCATGGTTGTCAGAATTTATAGAGCACAAAAAAAAAAAGGAAAAGAAATGTCTACTTGTTGTCAGAATCTACAATATAAAAGAAGACAAAAAAAAAGAAACTGTGGCCCTAATATTTTCCTCAATGTCTCTGTGTGAGTATGCCCATTAGAGCATATCACGACGGAACATGCCCTGCCTCGCTGGTAGGGGACGAAAACAACATGAGAAGAAGAAAGACAGAAAAGAAAACAACAAATCATGTATGTCACCGCTTTCAGAAGAGTGATTCATTTCTCACTCTGCCATACTTTCCATGGCCTCTGAGACAGCTATTGTGGGGTTTGTTTTTTTTGTTTGTTTGTTCACCTTTTTTCAGGGTGACCGGGCGTTCACTGCACGACCCACCGCCCAGCCTGGCGCGTTACCGGGCAAGCCCGCGGCCGATAGCTGGGCCAAGTACTGGTGGTTTAAGAAAATGTTCCCTTTTCTTTCTGTTGCGGGGTCATCCAGCGGTCTGACTGGGCTCCTCAGACTGCAGTTAGTTGCGTTGTGTTGTTACATCGGCTATGGCGACAAAAATGCGAAGAGTGAAAAAATGAATGAACTATTTCATCATATTGTCCTCAGGACGTTTAAACCATCAGTACCTTATGAAGCACTCCTCTGGGCCTTTTTCTTTTCGGTAAGCTCTTTGTTTCGGTAGGAGGCAGCTGGTGAAAAACAGTGATACTGCAGGCGACCAGTCCTTTGACATTGGGTGACCGGTATGTCGAGTGTTTTTTTTTTTGCCCCTTCCCTTCTTCTTTTCTTTTCTTTCTTTTTCTCTCTTTTTATGTCCTGAGTCAGGGAATTCCCGAGCACGTGTAATAGGAGGAAAGAAACGAAAGGAAAGAAAAAAGGAAACAAATATTTGGCCGTGATAGCTATCAGATACATGCTGGGAAAGTACTAGTGTGAATATGCCCTCAGTTAGGGTCTTTCTTGTGAACGTGGAATGTGCTCTACCTAGCTGGCTAGACACTAGAGAAAAAAAAATAAATAAAAAATAAAAAATTGGCCCTGATTGCAGTCAGATACATTCTGGACAGTTTTAGTGTGAGTATGCCCTCAGTGAGGGTTTTTCCTATGAACGTGGAATGCGCACTACCTAGCTGGCTAGGCCATTAAAAAAAATAATAATAAAAAGATTTGACGATGATTGTGGTCAGATACATTCTGGTCAGTGGTAGTGTGAGTATGCCCCCAGTCAGGCCTTCCTCCACCATCACTTTGAAAGCAGCTCCGCGCTGAATGCACACAAGTGTTTGATGAGCCAAAGTGAGTGCACAAGTTGGCCCTGAGCAAAGAATCCGGGAAGCCCACCTTGCCAGAGTAAAGGTACGTGCACTAAAGAAAAAAATGATGTGAGTGGCTTTTTCGCTTTTTTCTTCTTTTTGAATCTCTTTCTCGATTTATGACTGTCGTCCCAACCCAAGGCCATTGAGTCTTCACTATATGTATCAACATTTTAGAGGAAGATCCATTCTTGTTTCAAACACGAGGTACAACTTTTTTCTATTCTCGATTCAAATGGGATGCTACACGCACAAAGGATAGATCTTTTTTTTGTTTTTTACTTTTCTGTTTTATTTTGTGTTGAGAAATTGTGATATTGTTCATTGGTCATACGTTCTCGTTTTCAAAACGAAAGACCTCCGCACCTCTGTGGAGGCTCTACCCAACCTTTATTGACATTGCCCAAGTCGTCGGAGCCTCTAGCCAACCTTTTTTGACATTGCCCAAGTCGTCCATGAATTCGGGAAGAGCAAAAACTTTAGTTGGGCGGGGTACTGGTGCTTTAATTTCATCATATTCAAATGCATGTTGTTCTATATAGGTTGTTGTTGTCTATGCATACACCAACAACTTACTGCATGTTGTTTACGCATAGACCAGTTGCATTGTGTTATAGCATTGGCTATTGAGACAAACTTGCTAAGACTATCTATACTGGTTGCTGTTGATTACGCATATACGAGTTGCATTGTGTTGATGCACCACTATTGTGATGAAAATGTTAAAATTGTATGTGCATTCACAATGAACCCAAACGAGCATTTGATGTTGAAAGTTTTTGACCCACCTCTTTTCCTTCAGTCAGACCCCTGGTTAATTTGAATTCACAAAGAATGATATTGCAGGATTGTATTTTCACAATGAATAACATGAGCAAGTGAATACTGGAAAAAAGAAAAAGTTTGAAAAACATTGTTGATGTACATATTACAAGACTAATATCCCAGGGTGCTAGGTATCGTCCGAGCTAATAAATTAACTTTGTGGTTGTTGAACTTAAGCTTGTAAGCTACTTGTGCATTTGGCCTTGGCACTACCGTATTTCTCCTTTGAACATCATGCATATGCGTTGTACTCGAGTTTTAAAAAAAAAAATGAAAATTTGAATAGAATGCATGCGTTGTATTAAAAGCACAGGCATGTTTTGAATAGAAAATAACTTGTGTGGTGTTTTCGTTTACAACGCGTATATGTTATGTTTGTGGGAAAACAAGATGTTTGGAACTGCTTTCAGTATTTCTACTCTACTTGGGGTCGATGTTGAAGAACGTTTTCCACTCTAGAGCTAGGTATTGCAATAACAAGTCTCAAAGAGGATGAGGGTGTTTTTTTATTTCAGGCTTTCATCATGGCGAAGGGGTGAAACCACGAGTAAAACATGCATCAGCGCATCAGATAATGGTCATATCCTTCTGGGACATTCACTTATACGACAGATAGATTGTTGTCATCCTTTCATCAAAATATTGAGGAGGAACAGTGAAAGTGTTTTTCTCGGGTGAAAATATCATGACAGTGCTTAAAATTTCAGACTGATGGTCTCAGTTTTGCTATTCAAATTTATTTATTTTTAATTATCTTTTGGAAAATGACTCAAGAAGGGATGGTAATATATTGCGAGTATCGCTTGAATGAGGAAAGTGTTAATGTGCTCCAAGCACTGGCAATCTAACTTGATGAGAACATTGCCAATTATATAAACGAAATATAAGATGTAAATGAAATGGTTTTTCATTTAGAAGTCAATTATCAAACATCGATGGTTGTTTAATTATGAACCTCAACAAAATTTAATTTCCATTCTATATAGATTTAGATGTTTTGATTTGAAAGCAACCAACCGTCAGGCGTCCAATAAGATATTAATCCCACCTTCTCGTATAGGGAGAGACGTTATCGATTTAATACTCTTTTGCAAAAGTTAAACAATAGACGTTATGCAACTTTTACGCATTGTCAATCCAATGCATATTTGTTTTTCAATTTTAAACAATTGACATTATGCAACTTTCACTCATTGTCAATGCAATGCAAAGTTGTTCTCGAATCGCGTGAGTTAGTCTGGTCACATTGTTTTTGCATATGCCTCCTTGCACAATTTTCAACAGCAACTTTGTCATACGTCACCACCCTATGTATTGAAATAGTCTCGCACGCAGCCCCATATATATTGTCATTGAAGGCTTATGGGTTGAAAGTGAACAAGGGACTAGGCGCGATGTACGTATGAAGTTTGATTTTGTCTTCTGAAATGTATTGTATGGTTAGATCGGTCGTCCTAATTGACAGGTGTAAGATCGCGTTCAGGAAATTAACGCCTCTGTCGACGATTCGCACACGGGTTCGATTTGGCGTTAACCTCACGTACCCCCTATGCTACATCATGCGAGAAACACCCTTGATCGGGCCACCTTTGTGATTGCATACGAAAAATTTCTGTATGTGATCCGATAGCTCGACGGGGATACGCCCACTGAAGGGATGGTGACAACTTTCATGGGTAGAGGTAAGTTGTATCTCGCGTGACCCTATCGTTCGAGAGAGGTATCGTTGACGCACTCGACCATTTACCGCTCTGCGACTAAGTCAGACAAAATCCCACGTGACGCGGTTGCGAGGGTCCCCTTGCCGGATCGATGCGTTCGATAGAGGGCGGCGTTGTCGAAAATCTTGGCTGCCTATAGGGGTCCGGAGTGAGTGAACCCAGGCTCGAAACAGACCGATGATCCAAACAAAACGATAATTTATTATAATTAAATTAGGGAGATGAGTGATGAGCAGTAAGTAGATGGTTGAAATGGGATTGCACGATTGAGTGGCGGTGCATGGTAAGTTCATTTGTATACTTTGGCACCTAGTAGTGATAACTACAGTTAGAAATTTGTGGATCGAGATACCATATAGTAATTCGGACGATGCTATGCATATCTAATGTATTAGATTGATCGTCGTTTACATTGAAGCAGTTGTGTGTGTTCGGTCACCCGA